CGGACGGCCGTTTTGTCGTAAACCAAATTATCGAGATCAAGGACAAACAAAACGCATTCTGACTACTCAGCTTGTTAGAGGCAATAATTTACAACATGTAATAACAAGAATTATCCATTTTTTGTTATCATCGGCTCACAATACGAGTTTTTGCTAAAAAATTTGTTAAAAAAATTAAAGAGTTAATGTAATACTATTTATTTAATGTGTTTGATCATCTAATTTGGATCATCCGCGTTTGACTCTGCGGAAAAGTTATAGCGACTATTTCACTCGAGAAATTAAAACCTATAGTGTTTAACTAAACATACAAAATGCCTCAATCAGGGGGTGCATCTCAAAAAGTTTATCGCTTTTTCTATCCGACGTTTCTTACAGCTTCTACCTACCGGCCAATAATAAATTGAAATTCATCTATCTTAGGAGGCTATACACATCATTGTCATGTCGATGTCCAATAAACAGCATTTGTACTATAACATAATATCTGATTTTAACATACGCTTCAGTTATTTTCAATATTTGGCGAATTTGCAACTCTGTTGGACATAATTTTACTAATGGAATAGTCCTATTACCACTCGTGCTTTGGAAATTCTCAGATAAATCTCCTCCTAGCTTCGCGAGTCGGGGATTTAGCGACAATTTCCAAAGCACTCGTGGTATTACATAAGAAATCGGGTTGCATTTTACTGCTAATTCAACGCGTTCCTCGAACCCTTCTTACTCTTGCATCACTTTCAGCAAATGGGGAAGGCAGAGTTCCCTACTAGTCAATGAATCTTCCCTTCTATTTGAGCTTCCGAGCTGCTGTCAGCCACAACAACGGATATCTCCTGTGGTTGTTACGTGATAAACACATTGAAATTGTTTTTAATAAATTAAGTAAATATACAAAAGTGTTGGCTTTGGGGGTAAGTGTTGGCCATTAACTGCTTCGACCGCCTCTCGTCTGGAGGGCGGGGAGCGCTGCAGAGCGACAGCGGCGAGGGGTTCGGGCACCGAATTTGGTGCCCCGCGGGAGGGGCGGTTCGGGCCCAGGCCTGGCCCGGCGCCTGGGAGGCTGCGGCGCCGAAGAATCGATTGCGAGCTAGAGGCAACGCACGGAGCCCTCGCGCCAGGAAAACGTCGCCCTACAGAAAATACGCAATGACGCTCTCTGAAACCAACCCTGATTGCCACAAACGATTCCTAATTGAAAAACAGTAACTTTAATTCACAAATTTACACATTACCAACGATTTACCTACGTTAAAACATTTGCATACCAGGGCATTCAGTGTATGTGAATTAAATGAATGTCAACATTATTTTCTGTAATTAAATTTCTCTTTTTAAACACATCCAAAAATTGTACAATACTCCTAGAAAAAACTAGTCGCTCAAAGTGGTTCCAAAATTAAAAACTAAGTTGGATCTGTAGTTTTTTTTTAATTCTCAACGATTTCCGGCGAATGTCAAAACATGTGAACACTTCACAAACGTCGCTGTGGGTCGAGCGGGTTTTTAAATAATCTGACAACTATGTACATCACGAATAAGAATCTTAATTACAGTTCGAATTATAAATATATGCATTACTTGCCCGCAAAAGAGGGAGAACTTACGGTGACATTTCTTTTCAATTTCCGTGAATAGAATCGCACTACATAAAGCTTGCATTATTTACTTGCCTACTCACTTAAATATTGCCTGTACAAATTTTCAGTTTACAATCAGATCACGTGTATTGTCTTAACGTGAACCCGAGGTATATGGCAAGTTTACAAGACCTCGAACATTTGAAAATCTGCCAAGAGGTTTTCAATTAATTTGAGTAATTCCCGCGAAAATCGCGTGAAATACAGAAAGATAGTGGGTTATCATATTCATAATAAATGCAAGGCAGATATGAAGTTTGAGTAAATTAAGTATTCGTGTTTCATAATCAAATAATTATTTGTGTCGTGGATAAAAAGTAAAAGTAAAAGCAAACAAGATTTACGTAGCGGCTAGCTCAAACAACGTCAACATACATGTAGTTTGGGGTAAACTAAATAGTGAAGGAAAGTAAAGAATGGCAACCATAAATGAAAACAGAAAACTTACCAAAATGCACAACTCATAATGTCAACGCAGCTGTTCGCGAATAACGAATAATATTTTATCTCCAAACACGTCAGTTACACATGTATAACAGAACATTACTTATGCTTCCGACATGGTATCAGCCATACTGCTTACTTTCCTAGCCAAATCATGTTAGCCAACCGCACAAAAGTAGATATTCATCACTGCCATCATTTTATCTTTATTTGAGTTTGTTAACGCGGAGTTAATTATTAATTTTCGTTCTCAATATTCGTTGAAATAGAAAATAGATAATTTGCTATGGTTTTCAGACAGCAGACACTGAAATACTGTCCTGTGGGAGATATGCGTGGGTGTCGTGCAGTGTCATGGGAATGCTCTCGTTCCGTCAACAGAGCGAAAGTGTGTATGTGTGTGAGTGTTGTGTGTGTGCGTCAGTGAAAAGATGGTACTCTCACGAAAATGTGGGCATGTCTGGTTAGAAAGTAACATGTTAATGTCTTCATAGAGGAGGAATAATATTCATGGAATTCTGGTCAGTTTTTTCAAACAATTTTGACAGCTGAACAGGCGATACCGGCAAGGACAGGTTGGTTTTGCACTCAATAATTTAGCAAGGTGACCAACAAAAGTGGGTGGATGCGCAGCGTCGCCACCAGGTGTTGCAGCGGAGTGTCATTCCTTTCTATTAATCAAAATGTGCTTTGTTGTTTCAGTACCATTTGTTCACTGATATGGAAGAATGATTATTAAGAAGATACTAGATGTATGCTTTTTCATTGTAATAGCAGAAGGTAAAAAAAAAAAAAAAAAATTGTCACTACAGTGATAATACTTATGTATTCTTAGCTGAATGTCATATTTCTAAAGTAAGGGCTACATGTGTTATCAATATGTGGGTTATTTTTAAGGTTGCTGCTATGCCTCAGAAACAGAATTGCAAGAAATGGCTGTAGATGTGGGCCAAAATGTGACTTTACCATGCACTGACAGTGTATCATTATCTCCTGCAATTCATCGGAATTCAGTTACTTGGGCTCGAATAAGAGAAGGAAAAGATGCAGTTCCGATAAATGCCCTACACACACAACCTGATGGTGGACTTACATTAACTTCACTTAACAGGGAAGATTCAGGGATTTATTTATGCACCTTGGAAAGTAAAGTGGGAAGTACTACATCACCTTTAGATGTTGTTAGGAGAAGGGTTAAAGTGGAAGTAAGGAGTAAGTTTCCTGTAATGTCACTATTTCATGTGTTGTATGGTTTTGTAACTACTATCTTATATTTATACTGGTTTTGCTCATAGCACCTCCCCCAGAACTGGCAAATGTCACAGTCCGTCCTTCAACAGTTCTTGCTCTTCTCCTGTGGGACGTGAAAGATGATGGAGGTTATCCAATAGACTATTTCTCAGTGCAGTACAAAATGAAGTATCCTAATGAGCATGGGCAAGAAGACACATGGCATGATGGTTTAAGGGAACCTATTACTCCAACAGTAGTGAGTGCAATATTTTTTCATAATCAGTATTATTTTGAACATGATTTTATTTGATAACTTTGAAACAAAAACTAACCAAATCTATTTCTTATTTTCTTCAGCGTCAGATTGATGTTTATGAGCTGGAGCCCAATACAACTTACCTTTTCAAAATGTGGGCTACTAACCAGTTGGGGCCAGGAAAAGAAACAATATTAGAAGGTACAACATCACACAATATGGAGGAAATGGGTAAGTGAAATTTGTCGAGAAAAACCTAAGATATTGGTATTTGTGTGATGAGTGAATAATCAGGTCTTGTTCTTGTTTTCTAGAGCTTGCACGCCTTCTTCTCAAAGATGCAAAAGATTTTGATACACGAGTTTGGGTGGTTGCTGTGGTTATTGTAATGGGAACCCTTCTTATCCTCACCACTGGTACATGTTATCTATTGTATAAGGAGTACCATGTTCCTGCTTGTAAGTGAAAATTAAACTTCTAACCTGTTAAATATCTACCTATAAATATTCATTGTAATGACATCCTTTGCAGCAAAGCGAGATGATCAAGAAATTATTGAGCTAGTTCCTAACATAATCCTCAACCCTGGATTTTATGAAGGTGAAGCTCACACTGAACATATTGAACCAGATGAAAATTCAAATGATCAGACTACAACTAGGATAAACAACAATACAATAGTACAACCTATACGTGTTTGATATAGGAGGTACAATGATGTAGAGTTTCTGGGCGATTTGAATGAACACAGCTCCAGAATACACTATGAATGTGTCTGTGGAAAGAGTCATGCCTTGTAAGTAGACGTGTTCATGAGCTTTCTTCCATTCAAACGGGGCCGCATCAATATTTTTTTTGCAGCAATAATTCTTATAGTGACACTAGTCCAAGTTCATATAAGTGTTCTTATGAGCACTCTAGACACAATTCTTTTCCTTTCCTGCACTTTCAATTTGGTTGTGAGAAAGCCTCAACCATGTGATGTTCCATAGCAACGGAAGTTGAGCTCATTTCTATTCATGAGGCTGTGCCTCGAAGTGGAAGATATCAGAATGTCGATGTTCGTTAAAATATATCAGTAATTTTCATTGGTGAATGACTGTAATCATAAGCATGAATTGGAAGGTTGTGGTAAGGACTTCCTAAGCATTTTATAATTTCATAAGTGTTATGCTGCACTCGAGGAACTGATTTCATAGTGTTTGTTTTTAGAGGGTGCAGGCAATGTTTGTAAATACAGTAAATGTGTTCTTATATTTAAATGTGGAAAATGAGGTGTTTTTGTAAGAGACCTTGTAAAAATATTCATCCTTAATATAAGCATGTTGTGTAAAACTGGATTATAAAAGCTGGAACATTAATCTACATTTGATTTGCAAACGTGTTTGCAATTCATAAGATGTGCAAATAAGTTAACTTGGCAACATCCTTAATACAAAGAACAAAAATTGTATTTTTTTTTTTTTTTTTAAATGTTGCCTCTTATTTATCATTTGAAAGTTTCTGGTAATCATCATCAAAATTGGTTTCGTCATTAATGAATAGGATAGAATGTGCAACTCTAAGCAACAATTTCTCTTCTTGCTTATGTTTTTTCACTTTCTTCTTTGAATGGACTCGCTACATTCCTATACAAGTGGTTGCTTTCCTTCTAGCCACAAATTCACATCAGGTCTCATATTTAAGTGTTTTTTTGTATTTGTGAACTTACCATCATAAAGACTCCAAAAACACTAAGCTACATTTTATAGCTAGTGCAAAATCATATAACTTTCTCAGTTTTAATTTTTGTCATTAACTTTGTCGATGAAATATGCGCAAAAATTCAATTATATTCTATTTTAAAAAATATTTCCTTTCTATTACCATGTCTTGAAGGAAATTCAGTAGTCTTAATTATTAAATGTTACGAGATGCAACTGTTAAGCAAAACAGTTTTGGTTTGCAATGAAATTTGTGAACATTTCAAAATTTTGCAGTAATGCAAAAAGAGTGCACATGCAGCACTTTGAGACCTGCAGATAAAAAAGGCATATATGAAATGGCTTGCTTGTGTAGGAGTATTTAAGATTTGTATTTATGAAATTGATTTGATGAATTAATGGGATAGTTATTATTAGTTTTGAAATGAAAATAATTAATTTAATATCATAAATTATGAGATAGAATCTCATATTTGTTTGAATTGTCTTTTGTATTAGGTTGTTTAAAAACAAATATCAGATTCTTCTTAGAATTCATGCCTCTTCCTACCAAGAAAGAAAAACTGCGATCATAGAAGGTTCAGATTCCCAAGACAACTGAATTTCCAAAGACTTTTCTGTCTTTCTATTACTTCATTGCTGTTATCCTAGAAATATATATAGTTTATAAGTTAAAGCTACTCCACTATAATTTGTTGCATATTCTGTTCCCCAACAAATTCCAGTACTAAAAATTGTATAACCAATGTTAGGTCTGAAAGAAGCACATGCCTCATGGTTGTAGGCAATTTCATCCTCAGTGCTTCTGAGGGGTAATTTGGGGGTAATGTTAACATAAAAGCTTGAAATATATTAGAAATTATATTTTTTCACTTCATGTGCAGAGTAGCATACTGGTAGCGAGTACATTTTGTCAGTTACTCGTTTTCACTCGGCTAGTTCAGTGGGGTATCATTTTCTGTAAAATGACAATTGTGTAGCAGTATTATCAACTAAATGGATGATGGAAATGAGATTTTAGGTTTTATTTGATTGTCTACAGTATGAAAACTGCAATTTTGTTGCATAGTTCATATGACTAGCGATATGTAGCCTGAGAATTGATAATATGCCTAAAACACATTTTAGTACACCTCTGAGAATTGAGTAATTTTATGGACATTATTTTCAATATGCTAAATGAATGAATATTCTTGTAATTTGAAATTATAAATAAGACATAGTTGTGTACTGTATAAAATACAGACAATGATTCATGTTAGTAATTGTATAGTTTGTACAAGAAGTCTTAGTTAATTGCTTTGAAAAGATAAGTTTGCATAAAAATCTGAGAACTTATCACAAGTTATCTTTTTGAAGGTCTTCTGAATTATTTGTGCTCTCATTTCTTATGTGACATTTGGCTATGTAGAGCAATCACTGAAGAGTATATCATTGAGTGTTCACAACTAAATTCTAGGAATACACAGTTCGTTATTTTTTGCCTGAGAGAAGTAGAGTTAGATCAAAATTGTAAATGTATCTCAAGGTTGTGTGCTGTCAATAATGCCTTGATATTCCCAACTTTATTTTGTCTGTGATATTTATATTATAATACTCATTGCTGCTGTAGATTAAGTTGTGCTTAAGTATATTTTGTTAAACTTCCTTTACTATGAATTTTAGATGTTGGTAGCTTGTTATATTTTTTGGAAAAAAGGGCGGTCTTAGTAAGGACAATGAATGACACATGGTGCTTTGTTTATTTATGCATACTGAATCATGACTGTATAAACTAATCAGATTTTTTCAAAACTGGCATTAAGTTAGTTTTGCCAAGGAGGTCATTGATATCAGTTTGAATTTTAATGTGAGATTAAGAAGAAGTTACTCAAGACTTTCTGCACACTGCAGGAAGAAACTAGGTGACAATTTAAAGACTTAGAGACTTATGAAAAATGAGCCAAAGAAATAATACTATTATGTTCATTGGAAGTGTGCATACTATTGTACACACTGTATAGATTGCACTGAATGTATATCTAGCAATGATCATGACTGTTAATAGACTATAGAATAATAATAATAATAATAATAATTTTTGTTCAAATCAAACAAAAATATACTGGAGCTGTTTACAGTGATTCATTATTACGAAAAGGACATTCAATTAAAAATGTCATGTCACACTATTCATCTTGAATTGACTGTCTATTGATGTAGGGAAATCAAGCATAGTTTACTCGATAATTTGTAATTTTAATATTTAATTTGAGATAAAGTATACATGCAGTTATATACTCTAGTGGCATATCATTTCACGTGTTCCGCAGCTTATACTTAGGATAAGAGTACTGAAGATCCAGGTGTGCTTGCAGTGATTAGTCATTGTTCATACTTTTAAGTTATTGTGATAATGCCTGAAATTTGTGAAATATAAGTAAGTAATCTTGCAAGTAGACGCACAAAGTTGTTGGTCTCTCAGTTAGAGAGATTATTAAATGTGTGCACTAAAAAGGTTGTGCTGTTTAATTTTGATTTTAAAATTGAAAAGTGATAAATACAGTTTTATACCAAGGATTGGAGCCCAGATTTTATAAATCTCAATGATGCAATTTCCCAAGAAAATAAAGGTGCACTGAATAGTCTACGTTTTTAATGGTTGTAAATTGTTGGCAATTCTAATTGTGCCTCGTATATTTTGCTTAATTTTTATCGTAGAAAAGCAAGAAAGAGACAAATAATGAATCAGGGAATTTGATTACTGTTTGTTTTCTTTCAAACAATAAATAAACTATGCTTTGTAACTGCATAATCTATGTATACATTCACACTGAACAAGTTTGCTTGCGCAGCTCAAAGACTAATGGACTTAAACAAGTACAATAAGAGGTTTCAAATGTGTTCTGGCAAGCAGAATTTAATCTTTCCTTTTAGAGATAACAACGTTCCAATGGTGTATGAAGCAAGCAACAATCTACTGCACTACATTTGTGATTCATGTTAACACTTCAGTGTCCAGTGCCTATGTAACAATGATAGTTTCAACGCTTGAGGCATGATGAAATATTATCATTGTGCTACAAAATAATCATCGATTTTGTGTTACATATTGTATTTGCAATCAGTGTCAAGTGCATATGATAAAATCAGCATAGAATGTTCATTAGAAGTAATTAGAATGTGTTGAGTGCATATCTCTAAAAGATAAAGGGAATCTTGGGGGTTGTTTATAATGACCCAAAAGTTGAATAAACTTTTGTAAATGAATTTGTTATTGAGGTATCTAGAGCATTAGATAGAATTTTGTAATTTAAATGCATGTGATTGCAATGTTTAAAAGAGAGCCTTGCTTGCTTTCTTGCTTGATGTATATGATCATTATAGACCAGTGGTGTAAGTTCGCAAACCAGTGGCTAATTTGTTGTCTGTGGTATTGTAAACCCACACATTTTCATTTTCTGTGTATTTAGTACTTTAGTTATTAGCGTTGCCCAGCAAACATTACATATCTTAGTTTAGTGTGTGTTAGTGTTTCATGTTACAAAGTGACACATTTTTATAGTTCCTTTAAATTATTTAAATTGTCAGCACAGGTCGCTCTGTCTCCTTTCTTTGTTATTGCTTTTTAGACTCGCATACTTTAATGTCCTTTTGTGTAACTAATAATTTTTCTTCACCCTATAGGAAAGAAAGAATTGTAATTTTAATGCATTGTTCATTGACTTTAAATGGTGCATTTTAGTTTTAATAGCACTGAAGAAAACTGCACTGTTATTGTTGTTTGATGTTTTTTGTTGTTGTTTTTTTTTCATGAAATTTGTGTTTGTTATTTATATATGTATATATATGTGTGTGTATGTGTGTATGTATGTATGTATGTATGTATATATATATATATATATATATATATATATATATATATATATATATATATAAATAATTGGACAAATCCTAAATAAATGTAAACAAGTCATCACGTTGAAGAAAATAATTGGTAAAACAGAATATTAGTTTAAGTAAATTATTTGAAAGTGCAAACAATGTCACAATATTTTCTTGTTTAATTGAAGAAAGCATTTAGACTAGTTCTAGAGAAAAGATTTCTTACTCACCATTGTGCTACATGATTTGGAAGATCCTTGCATACTTCCCAGCTGTTTGTTGTCATACTGTGATATTATGCTTCCTTATGAAAAAAAAATCTGAATATTACACAACTTCATATCTACATTGTTTAATCATTTTGCAACTTATAACAAGCTTTCTTGATTTGATGTAGACAGAACAGAAATCAAAATAAAACATTCTCTTTAGGTATGAGCTAGTGAGAATGAGAAACAAGTGTGCAATAGAGGCAGAAATGTGCTTACTTCTCAAAAGACAAACCTTCCATTCTCATTGATGAGCAGCAAGAATTTGCAGGCCACTCTGTCCAAACACATTCATCAATCTCAACCTTTTCAGTTCCTTGTACTTGAGAAAGAAACTCAAAACTGAAAAAATACATTATATATGCAGTAATTTTTTAATAGTTCATTTTGATTGCAAAATCCTGTGGCTAGTAACGTGAGCATTGAATGACATATCTTCCATTTCATGACAAAGACAAAAGTATTGTGGAAACGGAATTTAAAAAAAAAAAAAAAAAAACACAGAGAGGAGATCAAGCCTTAGAGTCACCTGTGATTGGCATTGTTGTGTTTGTCTTGTATCAGTTTCGTGTGATATTTTCTCGTAAAATATATTCATGGTTGTGATTTCAAGTACACTGCACCCAGTTGGTTGCAGCTATGCCTCTCATTTTATAAAATATGACTTTTCACTACCAGTTGATGCTATGCAGTAAAAAAATTATTGAAAACCTTTTTATATGTACAAAAACATTTTATCATAAATAAATTCTTTTTTGATAGTATGTTTCGTACATACATTTTGCCATCATTTTCAAAGGCATGTGATGAGAATGAAAATTATTAAACATCATTTTGCAATATGAAAATCCTGAAGTTAATGGGAACTAGACTTCCTGAGTGGAGTGTGCATCTTGCAAAAGTATGTTATAAGCTAGTAGCATGTTGTGATGGTTAGTTCCTGTAATATGAGAAGCAGTTTCTTTAGGATATATACTATGTCTCAATAAAATTGGCTTTGTTTTTCAGTTGTTTTTTTCTGCACAGTTTGATGCCTATCAATGTTGTGTCTTCATGTATGTTCTTCAATTATTGCAGTTTTAACTATACTACCTGATGAGTGATAATACAAGTATTAAACTATCATTACATTTAATCATAATAGTGATATATAATTATGATTACAATTATAAAGTAATAAAACATTCTTAAAATTGTACGTTGGTATATCAGTTGTATGATAAAGTCATTTGTATTGTAAACTGGTGTATTAATTTGTATGGTATTGCATTGAAAGGAATATAATTTCAAATAATTCATTTCTTAGAAAGAATAATTGAAGACTTTTCTTCACATGTAACATATTTTGTAATAGTCATGTCATACATTTTGCATTGCAATAAAACCCTTCAAGACAAAAAAATTCATGTTATTTACATTATTTTAGTGACCAATTTGTAAACAAAAGTTCATCATACTTCATGACACTTTTGTTTATTGGCTATTATTAGTAATTTTTTTTTCTTTTAATTCTTGAATGATATTAAATGAAAATAGTTATATGAAAAAGGAAAGCAGTTATTTATGTTTCAAGTTTAAAACAAACATTTCATGAAAATTGCATTGTATGAAATATGATGAGAGGACCCATTTTTTAAACTTATTTGAAACTAAAGATGCCACAGTGTGACGCAATCTTCATCACATTTTTGTAACATGAAATTATAATTATGTTAATGAAATTAATTAAATTTGATTACATGAAATTATAATAATTATATTACTATTCATATACTTAGAATAAGTTCATACTAGCTGATAAACTGGGGTACTCAGATATTTGTCACAATCTATTTAGCAGCCTTGTCCTCCCTGCATGCCCTTTACAGCTTGCCATGACCTTATTCCACCTACATTTTTGACCCAGATATATTTTTTTTTACTGCACTATCAGCTTTTTCGATGCAGGTTTTTGAAAACATTAATATTTTCATATATTTTGAATCAAACATAAATTTCCCAAAATAATTTAAATAACACTTTTACTGTTTAATAAATTTTTAGTCAAATATAATAGAACCATTCGCTCACATTTGTGACCACTCCTTAATGATGGGTATCTTCCAAGAATCTCAAAAAAGTAAAAGTTAAGCCCCTATTCAAAAAAGGCAACACAATCTCATGAATTAAAGACTAATATTTTCACTATCTGGATTTTCAAAACTTCTACAGCTTTTTTTTTTGTGATAGACTCAAAAATTATGTCAATTCAAATAACATATTGACAGAGGTCCAACTAGGATTCAGAAAAGTGGTAGATCTTGACTATCTTCACCTTTCAACCAAAAGGTGGAGACTTGACTATCTTCACCTTTCAAAATGACATACCTGTTGCTCTTGATCAGAAAGAAATTCCTATTGGTTTGGTTTTAGATTTATCAAAAGTATTCGACTGTATTGACCATTACACACTGTTCTCCAAACTTGAGAATTAGAGGCATTGCACATAAATGGGTTAAATCTTACCTTTTAAATAGTTGTCAAGTAGTCAATCAAGCGTACTTGAGATAAAAAGATTTCAACACATTTTTCCCAACCTTGAATGATAAATTATGGAGTGCCACAAACATCAATCCTAGGCCCTATACTCTTTCTCTTATTCATCAATGCCTCTGACTACAAAAGAGCAAAATGGTCCTATTTGCAGATGACACAAACATTATTATTAAATCAGTCCTAGAGACACTAGTAAAATGGATCCAGAAGAATAAACTTGCCATAAACATCAGTAAAACTGTCTCCCTAAACTTTGGGAATCCACTCTAAAGAAAAGCCTCCAGCACAATTGATGTTAAAAAAAACATGCCTGTAAAAATAGCCCATAAACAACTTTCCTTGGATTGACTATTCAAAATGATTTCAAACGGAACTCCCACATCAAAAATCTAAATAACAAGCTTTCCAAGTCACGTTATGCCATCTACATTCTTAAGTCAAATTCTAACTTTGATACACTATGAACAGTGTACATTGCAAATGTTCACTCACACCTAAAATATGGAAACATATCCTGGGGAAATTCGCCAGAAACTACTCATACTTTCATCATCCAAAAACGAATATTGAGAAACAAAAGAATATATACATCATAAACGCATCAACATCAATATAAACTAGTACTAATAATTTTTGTATATTCTGTTGAATGTTTTGAAACCCCCCAAACTGATTGTTGGTCAAAAAGGTTGAACCCAGCCCAGTCTTCTTACACTACCATTTATAAAATTAATTAGCATTGAATATTGTATTTAGTACTAAAATTGAATTGAATTAAATTTTAAAATCTAGAAATATGTTAATTGAACATTATATGATTATGTACATATCCTGACTTGTCATATATATGTGACTTATATACTTTCCTCCTTATTATTATATTTCTGGTGCATTTCATGATTTAATTCATTTGTGTACCAAAATGCTTCAAATAGTGTCTTATAAAGTTTCTGAATAGTTTATAATAAAGGGAGTCGGTAATGACAGTGTCTCAAAAACACCACTCAAACAAAATTGTAAAATATAGTCCAAAATTTGTTCACTAAAATTTTCATTTGAAACATGATTTAGCTATGTTTTGTTCTACTTCTTTTTTTCCCCAAAATATGCAGCTGAATAAAATTTGTTAGGGGACCAGAAAATTCAAAATGGTAAACCATGAAGTTAATTGAAATGTTCTCTGAACTGTGTTTTCAACAATATTTTGTGAATGTGAATTTCAGGGAAAGTGTTTATGAGTGCAAATAAACTAATTATGGCTGAAATAGCTTTATTTAAAGTTGAGAAGGCCTGAGAGTATGGTTGCCCTAGCAAAAACACTTGTTGAATGCTATTTAGATGTATAGATACAGTATTTATAAATGTGAATATTGGTCACATTTCTTTACAAAATGTTTCTTATATGATATTAGAATATTGTTGTTGTGTGCAGTGTTATGAGCAGTATGGTTGATTGATTGATGTTTCTGGGCACATCCACTGCTACAGTTTCATGAGTGTAGTGAATGTATTTTATTCAGGGAGGTGATGATACCCTTCACCCACTGGATGTCAAGATCTTGTGGGAGTTTACCTCCTCCAGGTATCTCCCCATGACAGTATGATCCCCATGACAAGCTCTAAACTCTAGACATGCTTGGTAGTGTTGTCTGGTCATAAATGTGAGGGAAATTGGAGAGGATAAGGAAGAGGAAAATAAGATCGCATGTGGTAATGAGTATTTTGCAAGATAGCTAAAGGAATATGAACAGCTGTTGAGTAAAAGGAAAGTATGTAGGCCTATGTTTTTATGTATCACAATAACTTTGGAACCACTGGAGAGATTTGACTCAAGAGTACCCTGGATAAGATGGCTTATCAAATGACTTATAAGTAGTAACATTATGTCTCTCATAAATATAAGCCTTTTGAAGGGGTTGACCCTCCCCCTTTACCTGATACCTCTACAGCCCAAAATGTGTTTTTTTATTTAAATTTATTTTTTATCAACTTGACATGAACTCTTCTAATTGAAACCTGCCCTCAAAAACGTTGTGCCATAACTGGACACTCAAACTTGTTTTAAAAGATGTCGGACACATCATTTCTATGCACAATTACAATGTGTTTTGCAATATTCTGTTTTGTACGTCATAAACTGCAAACTTATATTTCTTCATCTGTAGTATGTTGGATGTAGGACTGGGGTGTAATTCTCTCTCTACCAGAAACACACCTACAGGGATTTGTGTCCATGGTTTCTAATAAAGTGTCAAAAACTACCATGTATCCATAGCATAAGGTATGCTAAACTAATGGTGCAACAGTGTGGCATGGACTTTCTCATACTAGTTAGTTTTCTAATTTCTTTGGTCAATGATAGCTTTTTGGGCTTGCGCCATCCTCTTGCCAGCCACCATCTATTGCCGCCTTCGTGCTTTGGCACATTTTTTTGAAATATTTTCAGTGTTTTGGTTTTTTAACATTAGATCCGAAATATTACATTAAGAATATTATAGAAGAGTAAAACCTTGTCCTACATAAGAAAATTTTTGTTGAAAAATTTGGAGCCCTTTTTAATCAAATGTTGTTTAATTGTTACTGTAAATGCGAAATTTGAAGCTCAGTTTTACAGAAAACTTGTTTAAGAAACTAAATTGCACATTTTTACAGAAGAGTTTTTCATAAACATAATTAGAAGACATTTAAAGCACTTTCTCTCACAAGTGCAATAATTAGTACAAATCATTGGAATTGTGCATATTAAAAGCATAAGAAACATTTTAAACAATTTGCATAATTTTTTTAAAAGTAGAGAATGCAGCAAATTGACTTTTATGTCATATCATACAGAGCATTTAGCACTGCCCATTGAAAAGTTGAAGAAAACTTGGAAGTTGATTTTGAGAAAAGTGTCATTTGCATTTTTCTGAAAATGCGGATTTTTGAGTTCATTTCCAAAGAAAACTTTAAGAGATTTCGAGAAACTTTATAAGACATCATTTGAAGCACTTGTTTTACCAAATTCAACAGTGTATATAAATCACTGTTAATGTAAATATTAGTAAAGCGAGAGAAACATAAAAAAATTACAATTTGTATTTTTTGAAAAAAGAAAAGGATAGAGCAAAATGGCATTTATTTCATGTGAAACCTACCTATTGAACATATCCTTACGCCGCTTTTGAGAAATTCTTGTTTTTAAACTTTTTAAAAATATTCCACAAATTTCACTCGAAAATTTATCTCATGAAAACTATCAAACTTTTCAAACAAAATATACATGACCTCAATGGAAGAACTAATTACAGAAAACTCATTTCCATTTGAAGGAAAAATCTCCATCTTCAATTTTGTAATTAGGAAGATGCCAAAAAAAAACAAAAATGCAATTTTAGAAAATTCAAAGTTAATAGTGAAAAATTTGACTTATACCTTGATTATTAGGGTATTACCCACATACTTTCAAGAAATCGTAAAGAAAAAAATTTGAGCGGGGGGGGGGGGGGGGGGGGGGGGGGGTATCAGGGGACCCCAAACATGTATTTCTGTTAAAATCTTGAAATCAATTTTCTGCAGCATTACATAACTTTCTCTATACTACATATATTACTCCGTATACATGTACATGTACCAGAAAGTAACAATGGATAATAGAGCTTTAACAATATGATAATTTGTACCTAAATTCCAAGGTCAAAAAATTATTGGGTGCTACAACAATGTACACAAATATTCAATAATCACTAAAATAAATTTACAGAACTGTTGCAGTAATTTTCAAAGTATATTTAAAGTCATAAATCATTTTAAGGGGGAAAATGGGAAAAAATTGGAATTCACAACTGGTGAAAATATAAAAACTTGTTTGTTTGTTGTTTTTTTTTGTTTTTTTTATAGTATAAATTATTTTTTAAATTTTTCAATTGGAAAAGTTAATGATAAGTTGACAAAAAAAGGTGTATAGAGGAAGGAAGAGGGAGGGGGTTAAGAATCCTTTCAATAATCTTATTTTTATGTTAGAGGCATAGTTTTAGTACTCATATGTCGTTTGATTTTGGGGAACATTTTTCCATCTTATTCTGTGGCACAAAATCTTTTAAGCAGCCAGGAAAAAAAAATAGTATAATTGTGAGTCAAATTGCCCATGAAACTATTTCCTAATTGTCCTTTAATTTGTATAGTTGTGAGTCAAATTGCCCATGAAACTAATTCCTATTGTCCAGCCCCTTTTACTCTATTTGTTCCTCCTGTTCATTTCACTCCATTTTATTTTCTTTTGCTACACCCACTCCTTCCACTCCACTATTTCATTCTTCCTCCTTCTGCTCTGTCCCCTCCTCTACCTTGCTCCACTTCTTTTCCTCCATCTGCTCCTTGTTCTCCTTCCATCCCACTTGCTTCACTCGACCCACACCACTTTTTCAATAATCAGCAACAGTGCCATCCAGAGATATTGGTGATTGCATTCAACTAAATAAAGTAAAAATAACCTTGTGGGATGACATTTTGAATTAAAACTTTATGGTCTTTTTTTTCCTTGAACTTTCCAAAGTGTTTGTGCTAGATTTGGGAGTATTACTCCAGTTGTTCTAGTTTTATGGCATATAGAAGCACATATTTGCTTTCGTATCATATTCATATTCTTTGAACCTTTTCGTGCAAAACAGTTCAGCATCCAGCTTTCATTGTTTCAGAAAACGATCTGTCAAAGTGGGTTGAGGAAAAATTCTGGGACAGCTACGCTGAAGAGAGAAATGGTTAAGCATGATGAGAAAATCACGTCATGTCATTACATGGAAAGACTGGGTACACATAATAATTAAAATGCAGAGGGAATTTAGACAGAACAGTGATTACCACATTTTGCCATTTGAAGATTCTCAATCAAATGCACTCTGACATGTCTCAAAAATTATTCATAGGTGAATTCACAGTTTCATTCAGACTGAACCATGAATCATATTTTGAATGCATGTATCACACTGGGGAAATCATTTTTGAACAAGATTCTATCAAGAACAAATCTTATCAAAAAAGAAATAGATTTAATTTTAAAAATTAACTTGAATTTGATCTTAAAAGAATAATTAACTTTGACATTACATACGTCAAAAAATGCACACAATTTATTTTCTTTTTTATGATCATTATTTTCATAATTTGTTTCTACAATTACTTCATTTTAATTATTTTCATTAATGTAAATTCTAAGTTGGTGAATCCTGGTGTGGACTATATTTAGTATACACAAAGAAGAAGGATAACTATTCAAAAATCTATAATGTTATAAGTTGATTTTTGATTAGTATGCATCTTCTGGATGCAGTTACTCTGCTTGTGATTCTATTGGCAAATATGGAAATCTTCTGTAAAGACAACAGATGGTGAGCAAATATCTTAAGAATGGAAGACGCCATGCACCTTTAATCAATTTATGAAAAGAAATTTTGTGAGAAAAATAGTATCACAGAGAAGGAGAAAGAGTAGTTTTAAGGTGTAAAGATGGTAAAAACAGCGAGACTAATGACAACAGTTAATGAAATTCACAGATATTCCCTCGCCTTAAAAAATTCTAAATAAAAGTTTCATGTACAATGTAAAAATATTGCATTTTATTCATGAAGCATCTGCGATATTGCAATAATATCTTTCTTATATTTTTTTGGCACTGATACAAACACATTTTACTACAATACACATTGATACATCCAGAAATGAATTTCAACAGCAGTAAACTAACAAGAAGAAGTAATACCAGGGTCATAACTTTGGACATAGGAGCCTGAAGAAAGAGACCCTCCTACCTCTCTTTATTGTATCTTCCAACCTAACTATGTTTTCTAGTAATGGTTGACCAATTTCCTAATACTTAAGAGTTCACTTTCATGGAATGAACATTTTTTTCCATAAATATCTCATGGATCAATGTTATTTTTTATTCTTGTTTCATCTTGTATTAATTTAATCTTCATTTTGTTAGCAAATTAATATTTTTTTAAAATAAATTCTCTAATAAAAAAAGGTATATTTCTTTCAACTGAGAAACTCCCTTGGCTCAGGACACAAGTGGTGGTAGTTATGACTCTGGTTGTAACGTCTATATAGCACTAGGAATTTGTGAATCAGTGACATTATGTGTTTAAACAATGGTTTAAGTGAATAACAATACATTCATATTCATTCAATGTAACCTCTGATATTTGAAAAAATATTCAATGTGACCTTCAAAAATGAATTAATTTCAAACCAATTGAACTCGACACTCAAAACATAGGAACTGTACTAATACTACACTATTTTTATATGCCAACTGGAAAAGATGTATTTTCCAAAGAGTATTTAAAACATTACAAAAAACAAATACACCTTTAAAGTTTGTTACTTATAAATATGTATTCCAATAAAAATGACCATGTCTTTATGGAACAAAAGTAATGGGTAGATTCTTTAAACAATTTTGAAATACATGTAAATACACACATGTTAAATCAATAAATTACTTGAAATCACTGAAGTTCCATTATTTAAAATAACTAATACAAAAATTAAATGACTAACCATTGAACACTGTTTGGCAGTTTTGGCAAAGCGAAGTCATCATCACATTTCAGGACTAGCATGATATTAGTTATTAAATAAATATTTTTGATAAATAAGTACAAAATGGCATATTATTAAAGACTTGTTCCACTTGCAATTTTAATTTACATAAAAAATCATTCAGCTCATGGTTATGCAAAAACAAAATTTGAGCACCTACATATTTAATTTTGTATAAAGTATTTCTATTATTATGAACATTTGTGACACAGGATAAAATTATGAATATGCATAACTGAGATATTTAATTAAATACCTGGGATATGTATTATATTATACTGATTATTTATTCTGATTTGCATTGTTAAAAAGAATCTGCTTCAAATTATTGATCTATTATGTTATGATATAATATAGCAATAAATAACATAAATTAGAGAAATTAAATACTTACATCTAACTAAAGAAGCTGTCAGGTTAAGTATGAAATCTCCAGATTGACAAGCAAAAGTCATTTTTTTTAAATGGAGGTAGATATGTTATTACTCCTCTTGCCATTTTCAAAATAGCATTGTCATAATTTAAACACCTAAGATTAAAGAGGAAAAAGATTTCCAAAATTGACTACTTACATAAAGAAAGTGACCACAACTTGAAAATAATATAATTACGTGCAATCACAAATTATTAAATATATGCAATTGCATTACACACTTCTCATTTGTACATTTAATTCTATTATTAATATTACTGTACTTGAAGTGGAGGCTTCTTATCCCCAAGTTGTCAGTATAATTGTATTAAAAGTTGTTGATCAACAAATTAGAAGCTGATAAAAAATACATAAATGACTTAAGTTTGTTGACTAGAAAGATTTACTTGGATTCATGTTTTCACCTATATTATTATATACATTTCTTAGATATAATTCAAATAATTAAATATTATTTCCTTATTACCTTCATGATGATCTTTCTTTTAAAATAGCTATTAAAAGAACACTAAACACGTAATTCAAATCAGTGTTGTGTTTTTTTATTTTTGGAGGGATATCAAATTCTTGGGTAAGGTGCCATACATAGAATTTTAAAAATTAAAAAACAATATTTTGAAATTTTCCTTTAACTCAAATACACATTAAAATTTAATTCAAAATTATTATGTAAATAAAAAAATATCACAATCAAATTGAAGCATTGAACAACAGCAATCTAATGCTTTTAACAGCAAATCTCATTTAGACTTTAATATTTCCTATTTTTCCTCCTTTAAAAAGGGTTCTGTGACAAAATTTAATGAAGAAACATTGCTGATGAAAAAAACAACCAACCACTGAGATTTATTAAAATAATATATACTTAAATTTATTGATTATTTGATATAGAAAAAACTTATAGATATATTCTTGAGGGATATTATTTATAATGTATTATAATTGGTATCTCTCAAGAAATGCAAATATAAAATTGAATGAACCAACTTATTGACTTATATGTGCCTTTGACTTTAAAAGAAAAGCAATTTTATCAAAATGAATAATAATTAAAAATTATTAGTTGTTACAAAGGAACTAAAATGAAATTATCTCTTTCTGAAGGGGGTTTTCCTCTTGTGGACATCCTCTGAATTCAACACTGATTCAAATATACGGAAAAATATTACTGAAAAATTTTACACAAAACCTGATTGTTGCTTTCTCTGGAATATTTGGTACTGACAATTAATTTATGTCTAAAGAACCGACCTATCATTATCCCATCATTCTCCTGTAAATAATAGTGATACATTTCTTCAAAATTGAAGAATATTTAAATATTTCCTCAAGACAATCACACTTATTTTACTGACTAGAATTATTTTATTAATTAAACATTTTATTAACCATGTTGCATTTTGTATTCTTTATCAAACAATTTTTTATCTTCAAGATGAACAGTTAACACAACATTTGAAGTAAACATCACACTAGAAGTTTTCCAAGTGGTCTTTATACAAATGCTCCATCATTTTCTCAGATCTCTTAAAAATCTATCAAAAATATAATTTACTACATAAAAAGAGGTCAAAAATAATATTCAGAGAAGATAAGGTTCTTATTCAATTTTTTCCCATGTATTGTTTCAAAAATGCTCTGAATGTATTAGAATGTGAATATGAACCTGCTAATTCCATGGCTGCTTTCATCAGAAAACTATCATTACACAAATGACTTCTAATGGAATACATACACTTTTATGCTAATATAACAGGAATATTTTTCACCATAATAGTTAATGTCTAATTAATGACACAGAAATTCTCTATAATAATAAATAATACTTGAATTGTTTTTACATAATTGCACATAGTTATAAAAATGATGTCTATGTTATGATAATAAACGTGAAAGTTCCTTTTCCACAAACTAAAAAATTAATCATTCATAAAATCCTGAATCTTCAATATCATCAACTGGTTCAGTTTTAATTTTGACTTCCACTTGACTGAGGAGATCACTGTAATCTATTAAGGAAGGCATTCCAGACACAGTATCAGGGTCTGGTTTGATTTCTGTTTTAATTGCTGATTCATCACATTTGGATTCTTGATTGTTCAAACGACATGATACCATTTTTGTCCAACGATCCTAAATTGATATTATAGAAATATTAAGTTGAATAATATTACTAATTATTGAATTAATAAAATAATTTCTTACCTTTATATTGACACGAAATAGATTGTTGTTGCCTCTTTCATTCTGCACCGTCGGAGATGGATGATTGCCCTGACAGTTGCACTGCTTGCAACAGGATCTGCAACCTTTCTTCTGTCTGGAATTAGTAAGATGATGTTTTACATGCTCATATATGCAATCATAATATATTTCATATGAAACAATATAAAACCTACTTTGGTTTCCTATTTGAATTTGTTCGATGGAAATTTTTCATATGTTTCTTGTAATCACTTTCATCTATGTATATACACGAACATGCATCACATCGTAAGCAATCTTCAAGTCGAATTTTTGTTAAACCAACAGTCTTCTTAGCTACATACAGCACATAAAAAAGCTCTCAGGAAAGTCCACTCATTGAAAATTTAAATTATGATAATAACTTAAAAAATAAATTTTAGTAATTTTATCTTCCTACCTTGTGAACAGTTAGGTTTTCTGTAATCTAAGTTTGGGGTTTTTATTATTTCTTCGGAACACGCTTTTTCATTTACTTCATTAGATTTTGACAATTGTTCGGACATGTTTATTTCAGATGTTGGACAAATATCACTTTTTTGAACATCTGAATCATGAACTCGTAAATGTAGCTGCATAATCTGGTAATTACCAAAATATTTTTCACATTTCGGGCATTGAAAACGTGCTGCAATGAAAAGGGCACAATTCAGTATCAATATTTTATACTAATTATTTAATTTAAGAAAAATAAATGTTTTATGTATAAATTTAAAAAAAAGTTCAAATAATAAATAATTTTTAAAAAGGAAAACATTATTCTCAATAATGAATTAACAGAGATGAAGAAACAATAAATTACAAGCAAGACAGCTGTAATTAAATGTCATTTATATGATGAGTATTTTAACTGGACATGTCAATACTGAATAGTTTTGAGAATTATTTACACATCATGATTTTTTAAGCCTTCTTACCGTTTATTCTGTGATGTGTTTCCTTCACATGTAAATCACTATCCTTCAATTCAGTGAAATTTTGTTTGCATTGTACACATTCTAGAACTATATGGGAAACATTATCGTTCCCTATAGCCATATTAAGGGCAAATCAGAGAACGTTTTAAGAAAAAAATAGTTGAGAAGAATGAAGTGCGTTTGAACGAGACCGTTAAGAAATTAAAGCATGCCCATTGTTGAACGCCGACGGCCGTGCACGCGCCCGGGCGGACGGTGCGGAGCGTCTCACCCCGTCGGCCTCGCCTCCCCCACGCTCCACAGCCGGTAACCAGGCAACGGGCGGCGCGGCGCGGCACGGCGTGCGCGACGACCCTCTGCGCGATCGATACCCGCGCGCGCCGCCCCTGAAAACCGCTAGCGACGCACGCGACTAACACGCGACGCACGAGGCCTCCCTCAGCAGCCTGCCGCCGCTCTGCGATCAGCGAAACTCGCTCTCGCTATTTTCCCTCTTTGCCCCTGCAGGATTCTGCGATACCGCTCGGCAAAACAAATGCATTCCTATTTTTAGCCCCCGCCGCCATATCGCGTTTCGCTCTCCTTCCTAAAACGTCCAGCTGTTTTAGGCCGCCCTCTCCCTCGCGCGCGCGTGGCGTGGCGTGGTGTGGTGCGGCGCGGCAGGAGGCCGTGGCGAGGCGGGACAGGGGCGGGGGCGGGAAGGGCTGGAGAGAGTACGCGGGGGCGGCGAAGTGGCGACGGCCGGACGCAACCGGCCCAGCTCGGCGGGGGAGCGTCGGGCGGTAAAGCAGAGACGCGACGGCGAGGCAGCTGCGCCGCAGCCGAGGGAGGCACCTGGCGATGGCGGGTGTCTCGCCGCGCCGCGGGAGCCTCGCTCACGCACGCACGCACGCACGCTAGTGTCGAGCGTGTCGCCCGAAGATACGCTCTCGATAGATCAATGCAGAGTGCCACTCCGAACATTCTAAGGCTTTTGGCTATCTCTGAAGAATTTGAGAGAACGATTCGAGTCGGGCTGGGTCGCATCGTGAGGGCATTATAAGGGCCTAAGATCGCGTAGGTTGACGAATTCGTTTTATACAAACCTCATTTTTTGCTTTCCATTATATGGAATAATGTTAATTTTTCAGCTAAGAAGTTGCACATTGGCTGAGTAGACACTATATTACAGCTTGCAAGTACACCTAATTACATTTTTAAATATAATGTCGTAAGCCCTAAGATCCAAGTTACAACTAAGATTTTTTGTTAAGGGAAAACCATTTTGTGTGAAACAGAATTATTTAGAATCATCTTGATTATGTTCATTAAATTTTATTTAAAATTATATCCTGAAAATTCGATTAACTTTTTCAACAAATCGATGTCGACTCGATAATCAAGAAAATCTCCCGATTCGAGAGCCTGTTAAGTCAAAAGGTCTGAATTCTACGAGATTCTTCACGAAACGGAATCTTTCCTGTACGTGTGTTCATCCTCCTCGTCGACGCGACGCCTGGCGCAGCGGGCTGGCATCTCTCGAGCACCCCTCCCCCCTTCGCCAAGCGTCGAGTGCCACGCGTGTGTGGTGTTCGACGCGCGCGCGCCACATGCACGACGCCGGATGTCGCTTCCACTTTTTCTCCCGCGCTTCGGTTTAGAGTATTCCACTAACAAAATGTTGTTAAACCACATGGTCGGGAATTGCCATCTTAGCGTTCGATTTTTTAAGCAAAAATTTACATTTCAGATCATTTCACAGCTCGACATTTGTTAAAATAGCCCTGGTATTCCTGTTAGAATGTTAAATATTCACTATTTCTAAAATAGTGTGTAAGGGTAATTTTGTGCCCATATGCCTAAAATAGTTTCGACCTTTTAATTAAAACTCTTTGTCAGAATAAAGCTAACCTATGAGCTTTTGACAAAATTAGTTTATGTTTATCTTTCATGCACGTAGTTAGCATTAACATATTCAGTCTGAAATCATAATATAATCAGAGCACACTCTGGAAAATTATATTCCTTTAATTATACTTCCAATAAAGATATGAGTTATTATAGAAAGTAAAATTACCACGTTCTCTCTTTCAACAATGCAATGATATTTAGCTCTTTGGTGATATTTAGAGGTAATGACCAAATTACGCTTTCAGTTTTGCTTTTCCATCGATCCATGCATGCGCACAAGCCATGGCACGCACGAGGCAATGCAAACACGTAAAGTTGAATGACCCGCTCTCCTTCAGCCAATGAACTCGTGCGACCGTCCTTTACGCCGCTATTCAATTGGATAGGAGTATCACTACTCCGTAAGTGAAATGAACTGGATTTGTTGGACCCCCACCAACCTACAGGCGAGAAAAATGAGTTAGTCGTTAGTCTCATTTTCATACGTTGCGACGTTCGTACGTTATTTATTCCGTGGTTCTCGTCTGGTGCGAGTTGTGGGTATATCCGACGCGACGCGAGTAGTTGGCGTTGGTTGGCGTGAACCTAAATTTGTGGTTAACAATCGTTGCTTATCGTCGCAATGCCGCAAGGTAAACTGAAAGTTAAAGCGAAGGGCGCTGCTCCAAAATCCAAGAAGAAAGCAACTAAAGGACCAGCAGTAACGAAGAGAGGAAGTATGTTATTCTAGATCGAATTTTTGTTATTTTTTTTTACTATTCGCTTTCGTGCGTTAACTTCGTCAATGTGGCCATTGGTAAGAAAATGGTGGAATGTTTGTGACACAAGTGGCGTCTGATTGTGGCGTAGATCGTGTGACCTCAATACATTTATTAGGGTTCCGTGTGAACGGGTTGTATCCTAAGTATAAAATTTTCTTCCTTTTCTGCATTTTCCTTACTGAGAATTATTTTTTATCTCATTCACTTCCGTTTATCACTTAGTTTTTCTTGGTGATTTAGGTTTTCACTGTGAGAGTCAACCAACGTTTTTCAAAAGTAGTTATTGCGTGGAAATTTGTATTCAACAAAATGAATTTTAGTAATAATTTGATTTCAATGCACCGTGAAATGATTAAACCTTTGAAATTGAGCATTAGATTGTTTGAAAAATATTTTTAATGTTTACAGTATTTTAACGGGTTCCATACGATTTCAGATCGACCTATACAGCCAAAGAAGAAACAACAAAAGGAAGCTCAAAAATTAAACAAAGTTGTCACAAAAACTGTGAATCAGGCCATGGAAGAGGAATTGAGAGCACGGGCACTTGATGGAAGGAAGTCTCTCACAAACAAGAAACAAGCCACACCAAAAAAAGCTGCTGCCAAAAAATCAAAAAAATGACAACTTTCTATGTGCAATGTTTAACTTAAAAGAGTGTTCTTTTTCCTTGTTCACACTTTATGTGAATTTCAATGTTTATTATACAGACTATTTCTTTTTCCTACTGAGAAGTTATTTATTGTAAGTTTTCATTATTAATGACCTTCTATTTGCATAGTTTTTGTGCAATCTGAAGTGAAGTTAAAGGTACAATTTCTGCAGGGGACCATTTTTAAGAAATTGAACAGAATACTGTGTAAACTTGGTATTTATTGAGAAAATAAGTGCCTTACTGAAATACATGTTCATAAATAATGCCAATATCTACATATAAATTATTTACATGTTAAAAATTTGATCATATCTGATACAATTTGGATTTTTTTCTGGTGGTGCTCCGTAGAGTACTGATTTAGTGTCATTTCAGTTTGTATTGTGTGGTACAAAAATAAAGTTTATTTACTTAACATATCTTTATTGTTTTTGTGCTCTAGCTGCGTATTACTTTCAGCATATTATTTACTCCTTGAATTTCATCATTAAACCTTACTATTATATACATTTTCATAAAAATGCTCCTCATTGAAGCAGTTTCTAGCTCATTGTTTCTTAGGTAGGAGTAAAATTGCATAAGGAAAGAAGAACACTTCTGACTCAGCATATCTGCACAGAATTGCTTTAATCTAACTGCGTAAAATGTATCTTCTGTAAAAAATTCTTGAACGTTTGGAAACAATATTTAAAAACGATCTCCTACTGACTGATGGCACACACTTAAACTGCTGTAAGGAGTTCACAACTTTTTTTTCATAAATGTTAAAACACTTAAAGATCTCCTACGTTGCCCCTTGTATTCCATGTATCACATCTGTGGAACAGAGGAATTTCTCCTTACCATAACTTGCAGCTCCTTCTATCTTGAAGCAACCTAGAAAAAAGAAGAGCAGGAGTCTATATGTAAATTTTTGCTTATCACGTGAGATTAGTGAAGACTGCTAATTTAACTGTGATAAATTATGGTTTCCAGTCTCGATAATAATTGATGACTGAAGTAACAATGGTTGTGAATTGATTTACCAATTCAGAAAAATTGACAATTTAAGTGGTTTATTCTAGTAACAAAGTAAATCACGTATTTTGACTTAAGTTGCATACATTGAGGCAGATTAAGACAAATCAGATGATTGTGAAGGGTGTTCAAAAGCATTTGTTTCAACCGAAAAAGAAGTGTGAAAATGTGGGGATCACAATTCTAATTCCAGTAGAGGAAAAGAAGTCTTTAATTGTTCATGTTGCTCCCAGCCTTATTGTGATTAGAAGAAAGTACAAGAATCAAGGTGAAAGTTGTGATTTGCTGGGCACTTGACAACTCTGTACAAAAGGCTACAGTTCGTTGAACCATAACACCACAAACGCAATTATATTTCAGTGCTTTTAGGAGGACTTTCTATTCCAGTATGCTTATTGTTATAAGGTCATTTGTTATACTTACAACAAGTAAATGTCCACCCTTAGATTTGGTTATTAATGGTTGATCACCTGTAGTGATTTCTATCTGGCCTTGTTTTCCACCTATATAATTGTGAGAAATCCTGAAGGAAAGAATATTTTTAAAAACAGAGTATTAAAATATTTTCTTGCCTCAAATGGTAACAGACTTTTTAATATTACATTAAAAGTACATTTAATAAAATATAAAGAACTTACGAAGAGGCATCCATTACTTTCACAGTTTGAGGTTTTTTGGTTATATCTATTAGGGTGGTTATGGCTTCTATTAAATTATCAACCTCTAATATCAGGTCTCCCTGAAATTAAAGACATTTTTGCATAATTTCTACTGGTCAGTAGACTCGGTAACTTTACTTTTTGATAGTAATATGAACATTAGTTTACTAAAGAGAAAAGTTATTTCTTGTACAATTCTCCTTAAATTACGTACCTTATCCTTCTTAAGGTCTGGGGGTATCCTGATTAAGACTAGGTTATCCGATTCAGTTGTGACTACTACTTCTTGAATTGTATCAAGAGGAAGGTTATGCTTCAATTTTGAAGTCTTCCCTTCTAGCAGGTACAAAGTTCGATTAGTGAGAAATAGAACTCTTTCACGAGGTTTGTAACCATGCCTATCGAACTTTGTTACAGATGCTGAATACTGAAATACAGGACCCTATTAAAAACTTGAAGTATAGTTTTAATACATTAATGATATATAAATATCACAACAAAAAAATTACACTTGGCAATTTTATAGTGGGTTCAAGCAGCATTAAAGAGAGATCATTTAAACAAATTATATTCTATTGAAATTTTTATTTATGTCATTTGCTGTTCCCCAAACATTTCATATTATTGTTGATTTTTTAAAAGATCAATGCTGTCAGTAGTTATTTGCTATCCTGTATTTTAGATGAAAATTTCTATTGAAGAGAAAAAGGGCATACCTTGAAGTTGAAAAGAAAAGACTGTTTAAATAAGTATAATATTGTATAAATATGTTTTAAGAAAATTAATATTAAAAATACCATATTTTTACAACATGTTTTAATTATGTTTAATGCTTGTGTTATATATACATTATTCTCCCCTATGGTACTGATAACTGACTGTCTACAAATTGTCTGGACAAAAACACACAAAATAACAAATTAATGATAGTCTGGTAAATAATCTTGTAAGTAACTGTTCCCAGTACCTCTTCTTTTGCTCATTTCACAAATAATTTAAACAAAGTTAAAAACAAAACCAGAAACACTTCTTACCAAAATTTTTTCATTGGATTGAAGCTGATTTAGCTCAAAGGATTGCCTCTGTGATTTATTTTCTTCTTTCAACCGATCAGTTGCAAATCGGCGAGGAACACTTTTAGCATAGGACTTCTTTTTACCTGTTATGTAACAAAGACAATTAAACCCTAATTGAACTTTGAAGTTCTTTAAAAAAGAAGAATAATGTTTTAAGATAAGAGGGCATCATCTGATAACTTTACTTGTTATAGATAATATGTAAATAATTTAATCGTGCCCTGCTGAGTAGCATGAATCCTTCAATATTAATACACCAAAGATAAAATGGGATGGTTGCTAAAGAATCATAAGTTAATTTGCTGTGCAACAAATGTTATAAATTTTGCAAATGTGGTAGAAAATTCAGCAAAGTCCAATACTATTCTGATTTTAATTAACAAGAAGGTGCTTATTACTGTGCATGCATTGACAGCCAGACTGACTTTGTTAGCTGTACAGACAAATGGGTACAGATCTGAACAAACCTGCATGGGAAAGAAAGGAAATTGGGGTAGAGAGTGAGAAAACTAAAACTTCACCTTTAAAAAGGGATTCTGCCAAAATTTTCATTTCAAACTGCTTTTTGTCTTGTGGCTTGAGATTATCTCTATATTTCTTCGCAAGCCACAACTTGTGGAACTTGCGCAGATGTTCTGATGCCTGAAAACATAGAAAGCATAGTATCAGAATATATGGTTAAATAAATCACAATTCACTGGTTTCCTATTTGGATTGCTTACGTACCTCTTTGCATGATACTGGACATGGAGGCCAGCTATTATCTAATACTGATTTAGGCAGGTCCTTTGAAAGACGAATGAGGTACTGAGCTTTGGCAATTTCAATGAATTCTTTATTTATTGGAGTTTCTGGACCATTACGAGTTATAAATCCTTCAATAAATCTATTGTACACAAGAACCAGAAAGCAATATTTTTAAAAACAAAACAAACAAAAAAAGTTAACAAAAACGTCAGAATAATGTGAAGGGATATAAGAGAAGTTTAGACTATACCTGCGGATGACTTGAGCAGCTTTTCTCCTCCTCTCTGCATCCCTCTTAGCCAAGAATCTTCTCACATATTTATTTATGGTGGTAACTGCATCTCTCATTTTCAGAAACTTTAGACGTTGCTGCCTGCCTTTCCACCTCGATTGTATTATAGCCGCAATTTGATGTTTCTTTACTTGGAATGCATCCTCAGTCTCAAAGAGAGTTTTGGGAAAGCGAATGAAAATCTTTGTCCTATGACAATGTAATGTGTGATAAAAACATGTTCAACAGTGACTAGCTAATACGATTATCAATTATAATACGGTAACCAATTGGTTCATCCCCAATTATGCAATACAAGATACGTTTATAATAATAAAAAGGAGATGTCTCTAATGAACTGGCAAGAGGGGAAAAACACTATTCTCATTTCTTCTGAGTATCTCAGTAGATAATTGTATTTAGAAGAATTTCTGAAAATTTATTCTGATTTGAAATATTAACTAGTTGAAAAAATAGACTAAACTCAGCAACTTTTTTTTTCTAATGCCATTCAATTAATGTAAAACCCAGTGCTTCTTAAGAGCGCACGAAAGTGTCCTTGCATTGAATTTGCTATGCAAGACATTTTGGCGAGCTTTTTAGAGTAAATTTTGTGAAAGTCATTAATGTTTTAATCTTAAGCTCTTAAAACATTTCAACGTACTTGCCCATCCTAAAGTCGTCACGTTGATAATTCAAGTGGTTCACCAAAGTTTGAACCCCTTCCTTTGCATCACCATTAAAATGAGGCCATGTTGCTGGGCAAAGACACTTGTACCGCCTAAGAAACAGCTCATATGGCCTACGGAAGGCAAAGCCAGCTCGGCGAACACGTAAGTTCTCCATAAGGCCAAGGTATTTAACTTGATGACTCACAACTTTCTCGTCAAAGATGCCTATTAGAAAAATACACCAGGTGATGAATATTACAAAAAAACAATCAGTAAAAGAATGTTTCTTTTAGAAACGTCTTTTGTATGACAAAAATATATATAATTCTGTTGCCTTTTTGTCAGTGTGATCCCTAGTTTCTTCCTCTGCAAAGGATACTTTCTGGAATGATTCAGTTTCAATGCATTCTTTGAGACTATTTACAACTAAATCTCAATTTGAAAGTTTGTGTATTTGTATCCCCAGAATTGAAAGTAAAATGAAAGTTGTAGGGTAAAAAGATGCTTGGGGTAAGCAATGTGTGCTAATGTAGGAAGACACGAATTAACAAAAAAATGTATAACCTTACATTAAGAATTTATTTCAAAATGAAGTATGGCAATGCCTGAAAGAAGAACACCAACTGTTAGAAAAAGCCTCAAATTGCTTTAACTTGTGTCTGTAGATCAGATCTGATACTAGTGATAACAAAGTATAACTATTTTTAGAAGTTCTAGCTCACCAGTTAACTAAACCTTAATAAAATTGATGTTAAAGATCTTAAAATTGTCCAAACCTACATGTTTCTAACAACAATCTTACTGCTACAGAAATCATTAAGCAGGGAAATTCAGGATTCGACAGTTATGTGTGCAGGTGTACATCATGTACAGTTATTAAAACATTTCCAGATCTACAAGATGTGCAGGGAACAGGAAGGCACTTAGAAAGTAGAAAACTACAATTAGTATTTTTTGTCATGACACCCAAAAGTGAAAAGGGAGTGGACAAAGCAAAAAACAAAACCATTTCTGTGTCTCAACCAAGTTTTTGCTAGATATATGTCAGAAAATGGGAGAATCATGCATTTTACGGAACATTCACGAACTCAAGGGGTTACCTATGAAGGATGTAATGCAAATACCCCCTCTTGCTCCTCCTATAATGGACCAATATATGCTTGATATGAAAGTATAATAAGTTTAATTAGGAAGAGAACTTAAGAGATATATTGTTTATAAAGAGAGGGTTTGATAAAACATTTCTTGGCCTTGGAAAACATGTGATTTGTGTATTATCAATCACCAAACAATCTTTTCAAAATGATAATAAAATTTTTGAATTTTTATTATATTTCTGATTACCCATTTCATTGTAAATTCAATTAAATTTAATGTACAAGATGAAACATTGTAAAGCCAACCTGATGATTTGCTGTCATTAGGCTTGATGCAACGAATGTATGAAGGTTCCTTGCCCATGAGAATATCCATGAGCTTGTTGAGGCTGTTCTTGAACTGGGTAGCAGCTGTATCTGGGCGTCGCTTTGTGACGACATCACTTGCAGGGAAAACAGCCTATTCCAATATGCAACAAATTAATACTGAAGTTCTTGTATTATATATTCATTACTAAGTTAAAAATCTTTTGTATTAGCAATACCTTTATTATAGGATTTGTTGTTTCAGACATGGCGTGTCTAAGATCTCTGAACAGAAGATCATTATTTTTATCCAGAAAGCCTTGAACATTGTAAGTAACATCACCTGCATAGTGTTTCAATTGAAACTCCTGGAAAATGAACGACAAAATTATTACACTGTTTATTATATACTCTTACAGATTAAATAGTAAGCAATTTACTCACATCTCTACCCATGATCTTTTGAGTTTTGGTGTCAGCTTTCTGATGACTAATGTAATGTGGATGATTGGAAAGATTGGCATTCATTTTTGATAAGAAACTCTTGTCTGTTGGATCACCAGGTCGAAGACATTCCTCATCCATCAATGAAATAATCCCTGCACCAGAAAGAATACCAATTCAGTTTCTTTCAAATAATGTTCAATATTTGTATAAAATTTGAATTACCTTTGTGTTTCTCTTCTATTAAATCACAGATAACTTTGTTGTTGAAATATTCCACAGGTTCCCATTCTATGCCTTCTCTCAAGTATTCTTCTTGCTCTGATTTGAGAGTCAACTCTATGAAAAGCTGCTGCAGTTTTTCATTACAGAAGTTAATACAGAACTGCTCAAAGCTGAAAAACAAGGAAATCTTAGATAATCATCGAGTACATTTGACAATTATTCCAGAAATCAACGAGAATGAATTGAAGAATTTGTTTCTTTGATTAATTATTTATGCACTTAATGAAGAACAAAAGAAACAGCTTGATAAAAACAGCAGTCAAGCAACATTGAAGTCCCCATGAGAGTCTGCATTTGAGCAGTCTTTTTATAATAATAAAAAGTATTATTGTTTTTCATTAAAAAAAGTTCATACTTGTTGATGCTACAGGTTTTCTCATACTCTTAATCCCTTCATAAAATCTATATTACCAATGGCCAATGCATTCAGAAATTGAAAGAAGTCTATGTAGCCTCTAGCCAAGTGAGAAGAGTATGATTTTGTTGGATACCCAAAAACTCAGGATTTATTCAAAAATCAATGAAATCATTTTTCTTTAAATTAAAAAACGCAAGAATTTGATTGTGTTATTCTGCCTATTATCATCATAATGTGTGCACCAACTGAATTCTCGAACACTGCTTATGACAAAGGTTAAACCATGGCAACACTCCAAGGAAGAGTGGAGCTTACGCCATGGCAAGGCTCCATCCAATATTTGTTATTTACTTGTTGCTTCATAGAATAGAAACTTTTTCAATATTCTTGGTATATAAAGAACTAAAGACTAAATATTATTTCATTGTCTTTGAAGACTATTTTTGTAAGAATATTTAATTTATTGTAGTGTTATAAGGGTATTTTATTAGAGCTTGAGTAGCGCACATTCTACTAAACTATTTTGGAAAACTATTTGGTGTGTAATTGTTCAGCAGCATCTTTTGTAACTGCCGGCCACTAATATACCTGTATCTTTTAATTTAAAACAAGAATGTATTTATGCTCTACAAAATATTTTCAACTGATCTAATTTTCGTGAAATTTACTCTTCTGCTACAAGAACCATAAAATTGAGAAGACCCACATGTTCAGACAAATTTTAAATATTTATTTAGTATATATTATTAATAATTATATATTTAATATAATTATTGAAATAATATTATATAGTAACATATCTACAGTACATTAATAATAAAAAATATATTAACACCCGTGTATATTAAATAACAAATCTACAATGCACCCCCCCCCTCCCCCATGATCGGCTGGATCCACCCCTGGGTGGGGGTGGGGGGTCTCATCGCAGAGCCAAGTCTGGTACCTCGCCGGCCTTGAACGACTCCGAGGGCACAAACTGATCCTGCCGATCATTTTGGAGGCTATCATAGATTTTGACTACATAATAAACATTTCTTTATATAGTGCATTTTTTGTAGTGTAAATATATGATACTATTGAATATTGTTTTTAATTGATAACGTAATTCTAAAAAATATTTAAATCAATTTTGCCAAATAAAAGAAGGTAACAAACAAAAGCTCTAGGCCGGGGGGGGGGGAGATAATGGACCGCCCTGGATCCATCACTGTCCGAGGGGAATACCAATTTTGTGTCTTCGGCCAATTTTCTTTCGCGCAGAAATATGGTGCTTATTAAGAAGAGAGGAAAAAATATGCAACATATGCGTAAAAAAAATGTTTGAAAAATTGTAAATTGAGTATTTCATGCATATACCTAGAGAGCATACTTTTTACATCAGGAGAAAAAATACGCATTTGCATTGAAATCCGGTCCCTAAGAAATTCTCCCCAGCCAGACTATTTCCCTTGAATCCTAGTTTAATTGAAATGCGAATGAGAAGACTGGCAAAGTAAACCTTTAAATCTAAAACGTAAAACTGGTGACGAGGCGGATTTCCAAGTTTCTTTATTGAAATTTTAGTTTAAAAATCTAATTGTTTGTCTAATGTATTCTACACTCTGATTTTAACATGGAAATAATAGGCTGAGTCGCGGTTATCCAATCGAGATCGGTAAGACTTATTTTTGATACTGAAGCTCTCAATTGGATAAACAGAAGCTGATCAAACTTCAATTCGCCCTATGTTTGAACCGGATGAAAGGGCCACTGTAGATACACGGGTAGCGAGTGGGGCCACGTGCTATACAGGAAGAAGGGTTCGAAGATGGGGTCTGCCGCCACCGTCCTTCCTACGTGTTACGCGCTTAAACTATTTTCTTTCTTACATGCAAATCATTTGTCTCAATTAATTACCAGATAATGTAAGAGAGAAGACGAAAGTTTCTAGTCAACAAAAATTCTTTACCTTTTTCTTTCGGTTTCGTTTGTAGGATTTTCAATGAATACGAGTACCTTGTTGATACAGCTTGTTCTATGAAACACAGCGAACGTTTTTGATTTGGAATCGCGATGTTGCAACTACAATGCTGTGCACCGGGCCATCCACTGAGGAGAAAGGGGGAGGGAGGGAGTGGCACTGGTGATTCCGTGGACATCCAGCTCCTTGTGCAGGCCTGATCTAATACAATGCAGAGCACGAACTGTACATCGGGAAGGCTAAAAATTCCGATGGCTTGGAAGGCAATGTGCACTCTTTTTATAACTCTACAATTTAAAGTTTTTTACGATAACCAAATCAGTCCAAATTCAAGATTTTCCAGGAAACTCAAAATACTTCATACCATAGACATGCAGAGCTATAAATTGATTTTTTCCCTCTTTATGTCTTTCAATGTGTGTTGGACCTTACTGAAAGGAAATTTGCCAGCATGTAGCGCCAGTTGTAGGGAATAACTATTTTTTAAATATCTTTAAAAAATGAAAATAAAAAATGGAATTTTGGACTGCTTTGGTACTTATAAGAAACCTCACAATTCTAATTGGTTACTTAAAAAGTCTATTATTGGAACTTTCATGTCGGGGAATGACGTTGAGATGGATTGATTTGGGTTGAGTTGTTGAGAAAATGGCGGGGGGGGGGTGCGTACATTTGGTCCTATGGGAAAATTCACTTTCAGTTTGGACGGAAGCTTGCAGGTTGCGTGGCGGTGTTACCTATTGCGCGTGAAAATCTCGAAGCCGTAGATGTCGAGGATGCCCATCTGATTCTGGCGCGCGGCGGCCGGGCCCTGCAGCGAGGCGTTGACGCGCGCCACCAGCCAGCTGAAGAGGCGGTCGTAGACGGCCTTGGCCAGGGCGTCGCGTGCATAGATGGCCGTGTCGCGCCCCAGCGGCGACGTCACCGTCTCCCCGCGCACCTGCGCACAGCCAAGTACCAACTGAAGTACTCCTACCTACGTCTCACAACTATACACAAATCTAATCCGACAGTTTATGCTCTCCGCCACGAATATTAATTCACGGCAATTATAAAAAATAAATCCCGAAGACAAGTCACCAATTTGGGAGCGTAGGCTTCTGCGGCCGGAGTCTAATTACTTGGCTGCTCGCGTTACGCCGTGTTCTAGGTACAGGTGCAAACGTTTCGGCCGCCATTCCGCAAACTTCCTCAGGGCGCATTTCGACCTAATTCTTTGCAGAAAGTCGGCTGAAACGTTGGCACCTGTGCCTAGGATGCGGCGTCACCCGAACTGTCAAGTAGCTACTAAATCATCATTTCTCCTTGGGTCATTACTAACAACCAACTCCATTCCAAATTAATATCGTTAATAAATTCATATTCCGTAGCTGCTACAAAATCTACCTACCATTCTAGAATCATCCCAGAAAAAAGTGGGCAAAAATCCCACCCAAACAATTACTTTAAAAAAATTCGTATCCTTTCCAATCATTCCAAAAAATTATAAGCAAATCTAGATAGTTCACCTACAATGTCCTAACCAGCTTTCAAATGTGAAGTAAGTTTCGACTTTTTGAAACAAGTCAAACGTGTGTAAATTGCAAAACTGATCGATGTAATTAAAGCCAAAAAAAGTCAAATAAAGAAGTGAATGGCACACCTCTATGGTGCGATGCTGCAGCGCTGCGCCGAGCAGCGGCACCTCGCAGCCCAGCAGGCGCGCCGCCGCCTCGGCCGCCTCCGGCTTCAGCACCTTCGCCGCGCCCTCCTCCTCCGTGAAGCCCACGTTGCCCAAGTGCAGCACGGCCGCCACGATGGCTAGCAGCGCGTCCTGCTCCTCCGCGCCCAGTTCCACCACCTCCATGGCGCGGCGCACCTGCGACACAACACACACACACTCTGTTGGAACAAGAACAAACTTTTGAAAAGTGCAACGCATTTCGTTTTTAATTTTTGAACATCTCGAAAGCTTACCAACGCGTTTCAACAATTTGTTCACCGTTTAACCAATAAGCAACAGTTCGATTAAAGAGATAATCACAAAATTAGTGAAACGATATCTTAAAACATTTACATCTCTATAATATTAGAAGTTGAATGTACCTCGATAACTGCATTAAAAGAAAGTAGAGTAATTTTTAATTTAATAGATTGATTAACCGAGAATCTAACAGTTATACTGTCTATTCATCGAATCATAATGTTGGCTCTTCTCCTTTATCATGCCCCTACAAGAAGTAATTGTTTCGCTAAACGAAATGTCCAAGTTCAAACATTTTATGTCCAGTTTACGCATGTTCTAGTCGGCGATGAAACTCTAGGCATTGCGATTTATATACCCCCCCCCCCCCGAGTCTGGCAAGTGGCACTCGTCATAATTTCCTTCGAATCTGGTGCCGAAACACGTGATTGCGGCGAGTCGCACCTGAGCCCACTGCGTGGCGTCCTCCTGCTCGGGCAGCCCGGCGCCCGCCCGCGCGCCGTGCGTGCAGTAGAAGTATGTGTCGAGCGAGCGGCGCAGCTGCAGCCGCGCCAGCAGCGCGTCGTCGGCGCCCGCCAGCAGCTGGTAGAACACGTGGAAGTTGCGCTCGCCCGCCGCCTGGTGCACCACGCGGCTCTTCTCCAGCAGGTAGTTGAGGATGTGCCCGCCCACCGGCACGCCCTGCGAAACGACCAAATGAATCACGCACTCCGTCACGTCCCACGCTTTGTTATCGTCAAAATGGCAGACAGTCAAGGCAACTTTGGATGCCGCCTCTACGGATTTGTAAGGAGGATAAATTTGTAAATGCTGTCAAAGCAAAATTGCTATCAATCAAAAAGTGCTTATTAAGCTACGAACTGGGAATAGAGGTGAAGCTTTTTTAGTACATCATAAAATTTAGGAAATAACCAGTTCAAGAATACACGATGATGAAAAGAATAGGGTCACAAACATTTTTAAAATCTCAGCGCGTGAAAATAAAGCCATTGGGGGAAAAACACAAGAACGGGTACAGTAGTTGAAATTTACAAATCTTGATAAGCCCAGAAATTAGAGTGAAGCCCAGAAGAGTGTCCTCGTTCCCAGATGAGACAAGGGATGACGATCACGGAAGAAATAAAAGCCGGCCCATCTACAAATTTTAAAACCGAGAAATACTTTCCAATAAGTTATGGTGCAGCCACTCGTAATAGCTTCTGCCTCAGTAGTGGCAACATCAAGCAAATCAAGAGTAAAATAAAAATTGGAGACTCCTCATTTTCTTCAAACTTTCAGAACAAAGAGCTTTATACCTTCAGGGACAGTGCCAAGGTGTACAACGAAGGTAATTTATTTCCTTTTTCCTTCTTTTATACATACAAAATAAGTTGAAAACATTTTCTTACGATTGGCATCGCAATAATTTAACATGCAATTTTTGTCTTGAAATGTCTCAAACACGTTTAGGGCTACAATATCTAGTGGCCATTACCGAGTCAGTACTTGAAGATCAAGAAGATTTTGCAATTTTCATGCGGCTACTGTAAAATCAAATTAGAGATTTGAAAAAAAATTGAAAACATGGATTTTTAGCCAAGGGTTGTATCTATTCTTATATTATACGTATGCAAGATCACACAACAAATTTAGTGCTGTAAATCAATAATATTAAGCAATCTATAAAAATGTTGTAAAATACCCATTACTCTACTTAGCATTTATTTATCAATGTCAAGAATTTTTTGTATTATCGCAATCTTCTAATTTGAGACACCAACTTCTCCAAAGATAGTGATTAAGGACGAAGTCAATAAATAATACATTAAAAAAAATGTCCCTTGGTTTGAATGCCATTCATCGCCCTAACAATATACTTTATCCACGATGGCCCGAATGTCTCACGAATGCGAACGCAAATAGGAAACAAATACTCGTGGCAACAAAATAGACACTTACGCAATGAAGTAGGCGTTTTCATCAAGAGACTTCTTTGAGGTCATATCAGGTGAGCCAAATGGTAAGACTACGAACATTTGTTTATACATTAAAAAGGTACATTCGTTCCAAGATTCCTGAAAGAAGAGATAATCCAAAACGCAAATAGTTTCATTTATTATTGGCTGAAAAAATTACCAATGCAAACGGTCCTTAAAATCAATGACTGAATCAGTCATTCATGTCAGTTATCCAAGAGAACGTGCGTTATACGAAGGATTACAGTTTAAAGCGATGTTCAAGCAGTTTATTGCTACAGTGACACGGCATATTATTCCACACGTTTGTCTGTCCCTCAGGAGCAGAGCGTCGAGGTTTTCGCATCCTCACACGCAACGGTGCCTTTGTGAAACACAATACACCGAGCAAAAGGCCTACAGGAGCTCGAGGTTAGTCTCCGAACGTATTGTGTCACGTGACAAAGAGCGTTCAGAAAGGAGTATGACGCAAAAGGCAGAGAGAGTCGCCGCGAAAGGAAGAAGGCCCGGTGCCGGGCCGGCGATTGAGCGGAGGCGTGCGCGGAATGATCTGCGCGAGTGGGCAGTGGGCAGTGGGCAGTGGCCACTAGCGCCGCGCCGCGGAGAAGGTGATCGCCAACGATATTTTCGAAACATCCATTTTACTATACAAACATCGATGTACTTCACATCGATTTATTGAAGTCGGTGTTGTTAAACGATATCAAGAATAAACTTATTAGTATGTACCCTCTGGTTATTTACGGAACCTAACAGAATTGATAGAGACAAATGAACTGAATAACAGAACACAAATTTATTTATCTTTAATATTATACTTTTTCAAAACTTACACAAATTTCAAGTAGTTTTAAAATGTCAGACTATTACAAATGAAAGTACGTGCTGTAGTAGTACCATTAATTTGCAACGTATTGATACATGCAATTCCTGCAGCGCGTATTTTGAGGCGTATATTGCAAGGTTTTTCCACAGGTTGGTATTATATTTTTGAATGAAAAATGCATTAATTAAAACTACAACAATTTTCACATATTCATAATTTTAATATTCTTCAGACCAAGTCACCAAGAGAGAAAAATTAGTTGAATTTTTGTTAATAAACATAGTTATTTGCGTTTTATCTAATAAGGTAATAAAGTTTGTTAATTGTTCTGCAAATTTTTCCACTACGTCAGCTAAACATTACAAATTATTTAAACACGACTACCGTGTCAAGGAATCCCCTCCCCCGCATGTGAACCCTGATGTTAGAGGTTTTACAAACCTCGATGGTTTTGGTACGATGCATTTTGAACATCAATTTTTAAAATTTGAACATCGGAACATCGGAACATTTCGGAACACTGCTTCGCCGCTCCAGGCCCAGCCAAGAGCCCGTGGCGCACACATTAATAACTTTTCGTCATTAGAGACAAATGTAACGGGTTAATTTTATGATTAGCTGAACCCGTTCAATTCCACCAACCAAAGAAAAGCTTGTAGAAAACTCGTGACAGAAAAGTACTTCAGTGAAACACATATAACGCGACCACTGTTCGTTCCGTGAAGAAAGAAAAAAAAGATATTTACAAGGAGTGTCCCTTAATAGGGGGAATATTATCTTTTACATACACTGGTCTATTATTACCAGGCATTGGATATTAAGGAAAGTGTTTATGACTTATGTTTATTAAAAGGATTTTTAGTACACGAGCAATAATTATGAACAATGAAACATTTTGAATACGTTTTATTTTCCCTTTTGATGTAAGTGCCTTTTAAAACTTATTTATTATCTTCTTAAAAGTTTTAAAAAATATCTATACCTCATCTTGGGTAAAGAAAAATGTTTTAAATCATTTTCAGTTTTATAACTCCCAATAGTTGCCTATACATAACTAACCTACATTTTCTTGGGTAGTCTCAAAATGTTATTTGGATACGCAAGTTCAATTTCTTAGGAGCTCAAACCCTCGCTTTTCTCGCACTATTAAAAACTTCAAGCGACGGGTCTTGGTTGAGCGCAGGACTCAGATTCCGGACGTAACTCAAACATTTGTGTGTTACGGGGCAAGTCAATAGTACGTACTTCCGACATTGATACCGCACCAGTGTTCTTCTAGGAAGGTATTAAGGAATGTTCTGTTAATTCAAAGAATTGAATGTTAGGTCACTTCCATATCCATCGTCTTATTAAAAGAATGAAACTGAAAAGGAGCGAGCTGCCGTGGAACCATATCAGAGGCCACTGTTTATTGTTATTTCCTGATCCTTTCCTTTATTTCCTGATCCCCCCGTTCTCCGATATCCTCAAGAACGAAACAAAGGACAGCGCATATGCATTTAAGTCACCATTTTCATTTCAGCAGCTTGTGAGAATTTGTTGTATTCTGTACTCATAATGTTCCTGAAAGTATTATCTTGAAAGGGATGTATTAAGATCTATCTATTTCGAGGTGTTTTTTTTTTTTTTTTTTTT